CACTCCTCTATTCAAGTGGTTCTCAATTGGCTTTGAGATCAAATGTAAAATCTGCTGCTTGGCTTGTAAAACCCTTCATAATTTGAACCCTTTCTACCTTTCCCAGCTTGCTACCTCTTACAGCTCTCCAGGTACTCTGAAATCTAGTGACACTGACCTCCCTGTTTTTCCTCATATAAAACCCTCTATTTCCTGAATATAAGCATTTTCACTGGCTATTCCCTATGCCTGGAACTCTCTGCAATCTCACCTCCACTTCCTAGCTTCCATAGCTCCCTTCAAGGCTCAGCTAAAGTCCTATCTTCTAAAGGAAGCCTTTTCCCATCCTCTGTAATCTTAGTGCCTTTCTATGGAGACTACTCCAAATTTATCCTGTACATATCTGGTTTGCACATTGCTGTTTGCATGTTATCTCTCCCATTAGAGTGCAAGCTCCCTGAGAGCAAAAATTGTTCCTTTCCACTGTATCTTCAGTGCTTAGCACAGTGCCTGGCACATAGTAATAAATGCTCATTGACTGACTGACTGACTGACTGAAAAGTTTCTTTGAACATAAAATGTTCAAACTGGGAGGGACTTTAGAATGTGGGAGATACAATGGAAGAGTCCAAGATGACTCTCACACAAAGTTCATAGAATGTTAATGTTGGAAGGAACTTTAGAACTTAGAAAAGAAAATGTTAAATGTATCAGGAAAAGAAACCTTTTTTAGAAACCAAATTTAGAAGTGGGAGGGACTCAGAATCAATCCATCAATCAATGTTTATTAAGCAGCTATTATGTCACAAGCAACGTAGAAAAATTGCAGGGGATCCAAGACAAAGGTACAATAGTCTTTGATCTCAAGGAACTTTCCTTCTAACTGTGGAGATGACATGTACATATGTATGCATTTACAGAATCAATCAAAATAAATGAAAAGTGGTTTGGAGGAGGAGAGGGATGACCGACTGAGCTGGCCGTTTGATATAACAGCAGAAGCTTCATGTAAAAAGTTCTCAGGCTGAATTTGAAAAGAAACCAATCATTCCAACAGGCAGAGGTAAGAAAGCAGAACATTCAAGGCATGGTGCACAGCCAGTGCAAAGGCATAGTGGAGGGACATAGAGACTCATGTTTGTCAAGAAGAGCAGGTAGGCTAGGAAATACTCCAATGGAATATTGAATCATTTGTGTTTTGCTATCACAATTACATTTCTGTGAGAAGGAGTTATTTTCTAAAATGAAAAATTCAATTTACTCCTCTCTCCATCCACAAAAGAGGAAATATGAATATCATGAAAGGAAAGAGAGAATGCTTTATTGTCATGAAAATGAACAGCTGTCTGGGAATCTAGCCATATGGATTCTACACCGGGTTTGGTTGCCCACAGCTAAGAGCCCACAGCTTGGGCTAGTTATCTATTTGAAACTCTTACCTGTCAGCAGAGGCCCAGAGAAGGCTTGATCCTTCAAGAACGGAAGAGAAGATGCAGGCCAAACACCCAAGTGAGTGCCTAGGCAGAGGGCACTTTCTGTTCATTTGAAAGTCAGTCTCAAACAAAGTAAGGTTGTGAATGTGTCTCAGAGAATCTCAGGAACTTATTGCTAAAAGGGATTTGAGAATGCAGAATGTCAGAACTGGACAAGCTATGGGAAATTGAGCATAGCATTTCAAAGACAGAAAGGAATTAAAATATGAATAGGGCTAGAGAAGACAGAATATAAAATGTTCAGGCTCAACAGGAACTTAGAATATAGAATTTCAGGGGCACATATGGCTAAAAATATCCTATTAGTTGGTCTCCAACCAGCATGGACAT